TGAGACTGAAAGCTGAGCCTGCCTGCTGGGGGATTGGGTGCAATGCCCCTGGGAGCATGAGCCTTCCCCTTCCCGCTGCTCTGCAACGGCCCAGGCCTGAGCTGGCTCCTGTGCTGAATCCTCCATCAGCCACAGCAAGGGGGTCGCGGGGGGTGATGCTGTCTGTTCTTTTACGAGTCTGGCACGTGTTTGCCTTCAGCCCTGGCTCCTGCAGGGTGGGGGCTTCAGGTAATGACCCCGTCTCCCCACTGGCCGAGGAATAACCACTCGCGCGGCTCGAGGCTTCGTCCTGCCCTGGGCTTGGCCAGTGGGTCCTGAACACGCCAGGCCAGTGGGCAAGGAGTGATGTGGGGCAGGGGAGGAGTCACCCTGCAAGGAGCAATTCTCCCATCAGGCTGGTCCCAGCTTGTCAAGACCCTCCTATTCTCACCCCCCTCCACCCAGCCCCATAGCACAGTGCTTGCCCAGGGCTCTTGCTGCCCCCCTGTGGCCATGGAGGGGACTGAAGCCCCTCCTGAACACGCCAGGCCAGTGGGCAAGGAGTGATGTGGGGCAGGGGAGGAGTCACCCTGCAAGGAGCAATTCTCCCATCAGGCTGGTCCCAGCTTGTCAAGACCCTCCTATTCTCACCCCCCTCCACCCAGCCCCATAGCACAGTGCTTGCCCAGGGCTCTTGCTGCCCCCCTGTGGCCATGGAGGGGACTGAAGCCCCAGACAGGCCTTGGCATTTTAATTGGGGGTGGGGGAGAGATTCTCTGTTTAGCTTCTTTAAAAATAAAGTGCTGAGCGGTGGGGAGCTCTGGCTTCAAATGAATAAATTAGCATATATTACTGGGTATGCCCTCATGGTCAGGGCAGTGGCGTTGGGATGCTGGACTCCACAGGGAGGGGAGGTGGCCTGGGACCCCTGCCGACCTGCCTGGGATTTTAAGGTCTGTTGCTGTCTGACCCTCCAGCAAATGCCTGCTGCTTGCCCCCACATTATCTGCTCTCTTCACTCTGATCCTGTGGGCTCAGCAAAGCTTCCCCCCACAGCCAGTGTTCCCCCTAATTTGTTCTGTGTGTGTGGAATAAATTTTGTTGTGCACACCAAGGCATGTGTGGCTGTGCACCACCTGTAGCATCACAGGGTGGGGGCGCATTGCGAACCAGCGGGGCAGCACTTGAATCGCCCCTGGGCGGCCGCCCAAGTGCGCAGCTCCCAGGGAACGCTACCGCCAGCCCCTCTGCCCGCTCGTGGGAGCAAACTGGGTGTCCTGGCGTGGGAGTCAGTTCCAGACACCCGGGTCGCAGTGAGCTGTGTTCGGCTGGGGGGTAGCACAAAACCCCCGTGGTACTCACATGGGGGCTGAAGGCTCAGGAGTCACGTTCCCTGAGGGCCGAGGGCCTCTGGCAGGACCCTACAGTGGGGGTTGCGCGTTGGGAGAATGTTGCAAGAGCAGCTGCCAGCTCTGGCCTAAAGCCATTCAGTTACCTGGGGGACCCCACGAGGGGCAGCGGCATGGACCCAGGAGTCCTGGGGTGAGCCAGACCTGCCCGCTGTGCAGGGACGCGGCCAATGGAGACACCGGACACCCCAGCAGTGACACTGAGCACGCGGAGCCGCTCTACAAGGCCTCGTCTGAGTCTGCCAGGCTCCTGCGCCCGAAGTCCATCCAGCCGGGGTAATCGCGGTCGTGCAGGGGGCGCACGGCGTCGTCCTCACGCCAGTAGCCCTCCGGGTTTGCCAGCTCTGCCACGAGGGGGAGCAGAGACAGCAGTTAAATCCCCTGCCCCCCGGGTTCCCTGGCTTCAACACCCCCTCCCCCCAACTTTCAATAATCAGTCCCAGGGGGTGGGCACAGCCTCACAGGCCACCTGGTCAGCTGCTTAGGTCGTGCAGGGGGCGCACGGCGTCGTCCTCACGCCAGTAGCCCTCCGGGTTTGCCAGCTCTGCCACGAGGGGGAGCAGAGACAGCAGTTAAATCCCCTGCCCCCCGGGTTCCCTGGCTTCAACACCCCCTCCCCCCAACTTTCAATAATCAGTCCCAGGGGGTGGGCACAGCCTCACAGGCCACCTGGTCAGCTGCTTAGCCCCCTGCCCTAATTGAGGGCATGGCCAAGCGTGGGCAAGACCCCTCTGGGCTGACCTGCAGCCCGGCTGCACTGGGGTGTAGCACCCATCCTCCCCCACATCCCCAGCACCAAGCCACATGGGTGACACTCCCCCCATGGCTATCCCATGTGAACAGCAGCCGCGTCCCACCCCAGAGCTGGCTGCACCCGATTGGGGATGGCAGGTGCGAGCCAGCAGGGGGCGGGAGAGGGCGGCAGGGTTCCAGGTGCTTACCTGCATAGATGTGGGGCAGGAATTTGGCCATGAGATGCTTCTGGTCCTGAGACAGGGCCCCCAGCAAGTCCCTGCGGACCAGGCCAGGGGTCCTGCTGCTTCTCTGTGGCATCACCGCGGGGCTGCCTGGTGGGCGGGCGTTCGGCCTGGCGTGGCAGGCGGGCGCCAGGACGGGGAGCAGCAGGCACAGAAACAGAGCCCCCTGCATGGCTGCCAGGGACGCGAGGGGGTTACTGGGGGCTGACGCTGCACCCTGCTCCCAGGGTGGCTGTGCAGCAGCTCCTCCCCAAGCCCAATGGCTCTGGGGGGGTCTGGATTGAGGCAGCCAGCCGGGGGATGGGGGCAGTCTGCCAGGTCGGGGATGCTCAGCATTTGTCTCAAGACACAGGGCAGGTGGCCCAAGCTTTGGGCCCACCACAAGGCTCCCTGGGCCAGTGCATTGCACCTCAGAGCTACGGCAACTAGGGTTACCAGGTGAGTTAAAAAAAAAATACCGGACGGAGGACGGGCCAGGAGGCGGGAGGGGCTGGCTGG